TGCTGCTGCTGCTGCTGCTGCTGCTGCTGCTGCTGCTGCGTCACCTGCTGCCTCGTGATATGGTTTAAGTCATAGTGGTGCTGCGCAGCAAAACGAAAGCCGCCACATATTGCTGCGTGGCTGCACACACACACACACGCACACCCCTCTTGCTGCTGCTGCTGCTGCTGCTGCTGCTGCTGCTTCTGGGGGTTGTGCTGTTGGTGCAGCAACAGATGGAGCAGCAGGAGGACGTGCGGCAGCAGCAACAGATGCAGCAACAGCAGCAGCTGCAGCACCAGCAACAGGTGCAGCAGCAGCAACAGATGCAGCAGCAGAGAACAGCTAGGAGACAGGAGGAGACAGCGAGAAGGAGAGAGACAGAGACAAACAAAACACCACCAACAAAACAAAACATATATAATACAAAAAAACTAAACAAACAAACAAACACAACAACAACAGCAACAGCTGTAGCAGTAGCAACAACAGAATCAGCAACAACAGCAACAGCAGCAGCAACAACAACAACAGCAGCAGCAGCAGCAGCAGCAGCAAAAGACTTACTGCTGCAGCTCTGGGTGTGGCAGCACATGGACTTGCGGGGAGAAGGAGGCATGCGCCTTTCTGTATCGGTACAGCTCCTGAAGCACCAGCAGCAGCAGCAGCAGCAGCAGCAGTAGCACCAGTAACAGCAGCAGCATCACCAGTAGCAGCAGCAGCAGCAGCAGCAGCAGTAGTAGCAGCAGTAATAGCAGCAGCAGCAGTAGCAGCAGCAGTAGCAGCAGCAGTAGCAGCAGCAGGAGTAGCAGCAGCAGCAGAAGCAGAAACTGCAGCAGCAGCAGCAGGAGAAGCAGCAGCAGTAGCAGCAGCAGCAGCAACTGCAGCAGCAGCAGCAGACCCTCAGCTCTGTTTGTAGACGGGCTGCCAACCCAGGGATTAGTGAAGTGCCACCAACCAGAAACACATTCTGCAGCAAACACCTGCAGCAGCAGCAGCAGCAGCAGCAGCAGCAACAGCATCAGCAGCAGCAGCAGCAGCAGCAGCAACAGCATCCGCAGCAGCAGCAGCAGCAGCAACAGCATCAGCAGCAGCAGCAACAGCAGCAGTGTGAAGACAGCAGCCAGGGGGAGCGAAAGGCAGAAAGGAGCACAAGGAGACAGCCAAAGCGGCACAGGAGACAGAAGGAGACAAAAGGAGACAGAAGGAGACAAAAGGAGACAAGAAAAGAGACAAAAGGAGGCAAAAGGAGCCAAAAGGAGACAAAAGGAGACAAAAGGAGACAAAAGGATACGAAAGGAGACACACATAGACAAAAGGGAGACAAAAAGAGACAAACGCAGACAGCAGCAGACAAAAGGAGACAAAAGGAGACAAAAGGAGACAGCAGCAGAGACAAAAGGGGACAGCAGCAGAGACACAAGGAGACAGCAGCAGAGACAAAAGGAGACAGTTGGAGACAGTTGGAGACAGTTGGAGACAGGAGTATGTGTGTGTTACTTTCTGGTGTCTAGGGGACACTTCTCTACGACGGCCTCCACCGCCGCCTGCAGCGGCATAAAGTGCACAGCGCTCAGCGGCTCCTCCTCAGCCTGCAGCAGCAGCAGCAGCAGCAACAGCAGCAGCAGCAGCAGCAGCAGTAGCAGCAGCAGCAGCAGCAACCGCAGCAGCTTAGTAACAACCCCACCGAGAAACACACTTTGTTTCAAAGCCACAACATTCTACGCCGCAAACACCAGCAGTAGCAGCAGCACCAACAGCAGCAGCAGCAGCAGCACCAGCAGGAGCACCAACAGCAGTAGCAGCAGCAGCAACAGCAGCAGCAGCAGCAGCAGCAGCAGCAGCAGAGTGTACCCAGGTGTATCTGTAGTCGCTGAGAGCCTTCGCATCAAACAAAATCTCCGCAGCTGCAACACGGCAGTCTCCAACAATCCACTGCTGCTGCGTCTGCTGCTGCTGCTGCTGCTGCTGCTGCTTCTGCTGCTGCTGCTGCTGCTGCTTGGTATCTTGCTCCTCAGCTAGGCCCCAAGGCCCTTCATCACAGCGGCGTTTCCTGCTGTCGATCCCCCACCAGCTGCTGCTGCTGCTGCTGCTGCTGCCGTTAGTGCTGTTTGTGTCCCCATTCCTGCTGCTGCTGCCGTTGCTGCTGCTGCTGCTGCTGCTGCTGCAGCGGCTGCAGCCCCTCGGTGTCTGTACAGTGCAGGGGTTGCTGCTGGCGAGGCTTCGTTCTGCTGCTAAGACAACTCCCTTCTCCGTCGCGCAGCAGAGCAGCTGCTCCTTGATTGAACGCGCAGCAGCCTG